GAAAACGGAGAACATCAGTTGGATAAGCTGTGACAGTTGCCTGAAATGGTTTCACACAACTTGCGTCCTAATCAGCGATCTAGTTTCACCTGAACTCAAAAGCTTCTGGTATTTCTGTGAGACTTGCAGCATGCGAGGAAACCTCATCCCTAAGCAACAACAGCAGCAACTGGATTCGACACCAGCACCGGACAATGACGCTCACGAACGTCTGGTTAAGCTAAGCGAAGAACTGTCGGCAGAAATGCTCAAGCTGCGTGAGGAGGTGGAAGTTTCACGGTCCTGGTGTAAGAAGCAAGTTGAACGTCTTCAGAATCGTGTGCTCGAGGTCGACAGAACATACGATCGGCAGTCTGCACAAACCAAGTTTCTCGAAACCATCGAACAGAAGATCGAAGCGATTGAATCGGGAGCCAAGCTTGCTGTCGTATCCTCGCAAAATGTCAACAGTTACAGAGTCGCTGTTAACAAAGTTCCCTACCGAGCCGATGAGAACCTCGGAGCCATTGTGAGGAGAATTTTCGACTTCCTAGGTGTGTCTCACATCATGGCGAATGTTAGATCTTCAAAATGGTCGGATCGTTCGCTCACACCCACAATCGTCATCGTGTTCGACGGAAACGAAGCCAGGAATACGACGCTGCGCGTGTACTACAAGAAGCACAGGAATGCAAAATTGTGTATGCTTTATGATGATCTTCCGCTAGACTATCGGTTCACTCTGAACGAAGTCCTGTCTCTCACAACTTTCCGAACCTTGCTTTGAGACTTAAACACAAAAAAAGTCATCAGCTCTGTGTTTATTCGAAATGACACAGTTTCCGTTCGTCTCATTGATCAATCCGAATACACGCTAATCAACGATTTCAATCAACTCATGGAACTCACTGGCTCGACAACAGAAGGTGAAAATTCATCGTTGTTCTTCGACGCACAGTCCTCAGGTTCTTCGCTTGGATTAACACCCACTGCGAACCTACTTGCTTTGAGACGGATTCACACCACCTTCAATCTTACGGTGCTACCCACGTCGGCCACCCGGATCACTGAACACAGCTCTACTACCATTGATCTAATGGTAACCGATCACCCACTGTTCATCAAAAAATCCAAAGCTGTAAACGCGAACTCCATTTCCGATCACGAAGCTGTGTATCTGATCGCTGACGTGCGCATACCTGAAGCTCCACCTCGTCGTATGAAAGTATGGAATCTCGGTAGGATAGATCCCCTACGGCTGCAAGCTGATTTCCTGGCAAAGGACCTACATCGCATCTACCAAGAAGAAGACATCGACATCAAAACACAACTTCTCACTAGCGAACTTTATTCGCTTTTGAACCAGCATGCTCCGGAGCGGATAATTAGTGTTCGTGACAAACGCACGCCATGGATAACGAACGAAATCCAAGCTGCAATCACCTTACGGGACCTAGCCTATTCTCTATGTGTGCGAAATCCGAATCGTGTCAGAGGAGATGCTCAATGGCGAGACTACATCTCCAAAAAGAGTAGGGCCGGCACCCTAATTGGTGCTGCTAAGTGTTATATCCGTAACCAAGGCCAACAAGTAAAACAAGCTGTTGTTAAGAGCTACTATTTATTACGTCTATCTTGGTTGGTGGTCGGATAAAGAATCAACAGGCAAGGCCTACTACATCTAGGCCTACTACATCTCCCCCTTTTAGAAAATGTCATAGGAAGAGAGCCATCTTGGAATTCTTGATTCTCGTACAGAACGTCGAATAAAGTCTCCAACTGCTTCAGATGACACGGGCTTTTGTGCGGACTGAAGTTCTCCATCTTGAGCAGCAAGTTCATGATCGATTGTCGAAAAAGGATTTTCGCCAGACGTACTTGCCACTTGACCATCAGCTTCGAGTGATACGGAACCAACAGGAATAGGGACATCGTGATTGAATGGCACTTCTGGATCCAACGGTGCAGCTTCATCTTGAATTTCATCAAGCAGGATTTCCCATGGTAGTTGCTGCGTCGCTTGCTCTGGATCATCAGAAGTGTGACGAGGGCGCATTTGGTTTACATGCGACCTCACCAGCTTCGGTCTCCCGTTCATGCCCAGTGCAACGATATAGTTGACGGAACCTTTCCGTTCGATGACTCGACCAGGAATCCAGGACTTGGCGTTTCTGCGATGCTGTTCAACGTAGACCAGGTCATCTTCTTCAAACTCGCGCTTGACTGCTCCATGCCGCCAATTGAACTGTTCGTTTTGTTTGTGGTTCGTGACAGCTTCAGTTACAGGAACAGGTTTCTTCAGTAGGTCCAAAGTGGTGCGCACTGGTCTTCCGAGGAATGCTTCTGCTGGAGACGTCGATTGCGGTGTGTTTCGGTTTGGGATTGAACGATACACCGAAAGGCAGGCAAGGCCTACTACACTAAGAAACGGTATGCTGATTCGCAGTTTGGCATGGACCTTCCTGCTAAGCAGCTGTGGTGCAACCTGAGGAGAGAGGGCATACATAACAATGCAAAGAAGAATGCGGCCATGGAGGAAATTGATGCTGACCGACTTAATTCAGTTCTTTGCTGAAGGCCATCACATGTTACAGCATAGGGCTGTACCTTCGCAAGCGAACGCAGAATCCGATCGACCACCCGCAAATGTGGCCGACGGCCTATTCCAGTTCAGGCGCACTAACGTCAACGAAGTCACCAGGAAAATTTACGAGATTGGGACCAACGCGAAAGGGACGGATGAAATCCCCATCTCATTCATCAAGCTGCTCTGCCCGTTTATCCTCCCCCCCCCCCCCTGACTCACCTGTTCAATGCGATTATCGATGCTCAAACTTTCCCTTCCGTCTGGAAAAAGGCCATCGTTACACCGATACTTCACAGTAATGGTTCTTGTCGACTTTTCGTTGGCATTCAACTGTGTCAGACATGGTCTACTTGAAACGAAGCTGCGGAGGGAATTCGGGTTTTCAAACTCAGCGTGTAATTTGATTTAATCTTTCCTGGCGCAGCGAAGCCAGGTTGTAGACCTGGGTGGTACTCCCTCGAATCCCCGGAATCTCACCGACGGTACGCCACAAGGATCCTGTCTGAGCGCCCTGCTGTTTAGCCTATACATCAACAGCCTGCCTGGTGTGCTAAAATGCGAGTATCACCTCTATGCGGACGACCTCCAAATCTACATATCAGGCCCCGCAAGCGAAATGAACAGGCTCGTCGAAGCAATCAACCAGGATCTCCTCGCTATCGAACGTTGGGCCACTGAGAATCGTCTGTTCAGTTCAGTTGCATCGATGCTTCAAGTCGTCGGTGAGGTTCGTGTATGGTATCCGAGGACGGCTCTTCAAAATAAAATGCCGAGCTGCTCGGTGGTGCCCATCTCGGCGAAAAAATCGAAGTGTGTAGTGTACAAGCTGCATCCATACATACTTAGATTTTCCTACCGAAATCGGCTGTGCAAATCTCGGCAAAAAATGTTTTACTGAGATATTAGCAAACATTTCATTTGTTTGCTGAGATTCACCTAAGCATTATCCGAGACTCAGCAATCAATTGTCACTTTTGCTGAGATCTCAGTGAAACTTATTTTGCCGAGATTTGCACAGCCGAGCTCGGTAGAAAAAACTAAGTGTGTACAACTTTCCGATCTACCTAGTGAGGATCATCAAAAACTACTTATCGGGCAGATCATTCCAGGTCTACTTGAACAATGTCCCCTCTGATACGTTCAACGTTGATGCAGGGGTCCCTCAGGGTAGCCTGCTTGGGCCTATCCTATTCAACATTTTCACGTCAGACGTTCCTCCCCTGCCGGATGGTGGTATCCTGTCAATGTTCGCAGATGGCACCTCCATCATCTATAAGGGTCGAGTGATCCGTGCTCTGGCGAGTAAACTACAATCAGGCCTGGATGTTATGTCCGACTATTTCAAGAGCTGGAAGATTTGTATCAATGCAGCTAAAACACAAACCATTCTGTTTCCACACACGAATTCACCTCGGCTTGTTCCACCTGCTAACGTCAAGATCCATCTTGATTGGCATTGAATGGTCGAGTGAAGTGTTCTACTTTGGTCTCACCCTCGATAGAAAATTGCTATTCCGATCCCATGTGGACAAGACATCCACTTGATCAGGTCGCTCTACCCTCTGATAAACAGGAAGTCCCCCCTGTCCCTCAAAAACAACCTTGCTGTCCACAAGCAGATCATTCTGCCGGCTATTGAGTATTGTATGCCAATCTGGGAGAGTTGTGCTAAGTGACACCACCTAAAGCTTCAGAGGATCCAAAACAAGATCCTCAGAATTATCTTTTACACCGCAAACTCGCAATGGATCAATGAAAATGCTGAGGTTTTGACAGAACTGTGCTGTGGCTAACACAGTGTTTTACATTTTGATCGTCCATATACAGTAGCGCCAAAATCATGATGTGGTGGGTTCAAAACTTGACCATCTAAATTGATCAAGTTAAAGAGCCTGAATTTAACATAAATTCAGGCTCTTTAAGTTGAAGCACATTGAGAAAAAAGTTGGCGCAAAATGCGTTATATAGACTGACTACGGTGAATACCTTTTGAAATACACGAGGATTTGTTTCAAACCTGAAGTCATTTTCGAGGATAGAACATTCCTATAGCTGCTTATATCCGAGAAAATGTCATTCCAATTTTTTCCGTAGACCCGGAATATTCGATAAAATCTACACACTCATACTGGAGACTGGACTTAGATATACTGCTGAATCTAAGTGAAAAACATCTGTCATGATTACCTGAGTTTTGTCAAAAAAAAAAAAAAACGTCAATATTTACAAAGGCAAAGGTAATTTTCTTTCCTGAAGAAATAGAATTGTATGATAAATTGAAATATTTTAGTTTAATCGAGGTGAACGAACCTTCGAATCTAAAGCCTAGTTAAAGATTATAATAATAAAGATATACAAAAATGCCCAGAAATTAAAAATGTAAATATTTCAGAGGAATGGAACTACTAAACCGTATACAGTAAGTTCTTACCTGCATTCACGATTTCAGGAAATTCTCATTGAATGTTTTGTGCAGCTTCTTCGCCTTCCTGGGACCCAGCCCGGAACAGAGCGACAGCTTCTCCTCGCTACTGTTGATCATACAGGCCAGCGTTCCGTAGTTCTGGATCAACGTCATGGCATCCGTCTTGTTGACCGGTTTGATGTTGGTCAGCGCACTCACGAGCTGAAATTTAAAACACGTTCAAAATTCTGTTTAAAACTTTACCACGCTTGGCCCGACCCAATACCTTTTGATACGGATACTGCTCGGCGCGTTCCATAATCAAATCCGGCGGTTTATTCTCGAACATCTTGTACGTTTCGACAATCTTGCCCGCCTCCTCGGCATTCCACGCCAGCATCAGCGTCAAATCGGCCAGCAGGCAAATCCGGGTCAGGTGTTTCAGCGCATTGTGCGGTTCCTGTATGTCCACCTGGACCAGCAGCACTCGCAGCTCGTACATCTTCCCGAGCAGTTTCAACCGCCCGTGGATGTAGTCCGGATTGAGATTGTGGTACCGGAGGGAGATGTACAGGATGCACGTCGTCGCTCCGACCACGTAGTCCGGCACGATGTCGTCGTACTCCCACGGGATGTTCTGGATGGATTTGAGCAGCGGATTGCCGCGCTGCTTCGGGTTCACCAGGACGCAGTTCCCTTTGTTTACGGAACGTACGACGATGCCGGTGCTGCTGCTGTTTTCGCCTTCCGATGCTGACGTTGCAGCGGCTTTTTTGGGTGGCGGCGGCAGATCCAGGTTGGCTAACAGGTCGTCATCGTCCAGGGAGTCGTTCGGGATGGACATGGTTGCGATGGGTTTGCAGTACAAGGCTTGTTATCTTACAAAATTAAAAGTTTTTTTTTTTGAACAGAACACCGTGTTTGAAATATTCGGGATAATTTTGTTTATGTTTTGATGATGACTGTTTAATGATGGTCGATGATTTTCGAGTTCGAACTTTGAACAATCACGGCCATTGAAACTCACTCAAATTTTGAGCAACGAAATGTTCATTCAAATTCGCAAAAACACGCACTCTAACATTATAGTACCCATTAATGTGTACAATTTCACCCATTTTGAAGTAAAGTATAGGTTAACCCATAAAATAGAAAAATATATCCATTAATGTGCAATTAATGGGTAACAATTATACATTAATGGGAATTAGTTACCCATTAATGTGTAATTTTTTTACCAATTTAATGGGTTACCCTATTAAAAAATAACCATAAACGAACGATAACCCAAATCATTGAACTATTCTATAAATGGTTTGGATGATACCCAGAACACGTCGTTAAGCAAATTAACTATACAATTTTTATTAGGGTAACCTACTTTACTTCAAAATGGGTGAAATTGTACCCATTAATGGGTAATTTCCAGTTACAGTGCGTGCATGTAGCCAAAATTTAACACTGTTAACGAAACAAACTCAGAGAGTGAGTCGCTGTTACTCATTTTACTCTTTCAAAAAAAAAAAATTATGGTTGGATTTGGACAGTTTTTGACCTGTTTCATACGACCGAAAGGTGTACGCTGGTCACAAATGCCGTGCCAAACTGATTGCCTACTCAATTAATCAACCTTTGATGTGAATTTCGTTTATAAACACGAGGAGCATTTTTTATAACAAAACTTCCCGCATAAACCAAAACCGAAAGATGCACCTAACCACTAATTCGAGATACCATCTCAACTTTATGTGGTATGGTCACACCATCTAAGATATCGTCAGTATATGGTACCCGTTTATTAGGGTTGCCATAACAAAATGGGCATAGTTCATTTTAGTAAACAAACTAACGCTTCTTTCTTGTGTGTCACCTTTGTATTGAGCGCCTAGGCCTTATAGTACGTTCAGACCACCGACAAACCGACATGAAACTTAAACTTATCTCTTGATCGAAAATCCATAACGGCGGATTCAAATGTGCAGTGATCCCATCTTTCAAAACCATAGAAATTTATTATCTAGATAAAAATAATTTGCCCTGAATAGATTAGACACGAACCATCTCATACATTCTGTTTGTGTGTTTGTGGCTAGGATACACATTTTTCGCGAACACGGCGGTAGATGTCAGTTTTGTGCTTTGATCAGAAATTTGATGATACTTTGTATGGGCATTCATGTCGGTTTGTCGGTGTTCAGACTACAGAGTTATAACAGGTTATAGCGCTATCTTGATGGTGGTTTCTGTGTTGCAATTATTTGACAACCGTTATTACATGTTATAACTCTCCAGTCTGTACAATGATTAAGTCTGATATTTGTCGTTAAGCATCTTCACCTATGTAAATCGTTAGCTTCACGCATGGAGTAATACAAACATAATTAGCTAATACCTTTTACAGACATACAAAGTTCACTGTTGTACTACCATTGTACCATAGAGGTAACTCTAAGACCACTGGGTCCCGAAGAAAATCATTATTATTTTTGGCTCACTCAGTACCAGAACAACGGTCCCAAGCAGTCCCAAGCTATTTCACTCACCCCTGCATGTTCTGCATGAATCCACACACCCCTGATGTTATCTGTCAAACTTTCATAGCGAATCAAAACAAACATAGTGTAGTAATAGAATTTCAACTAGAATAGGGTACGTTAATCGTTTGCTTGGGACCAATAGGCTACTAAAGTGGTGCGCCAATTTAAAATCGTTAGTTTCGTATTGATTGTTGATTGTACCAACAATCAATACGAAACTAACGATTTTAAATTTTGGCTCACTACTTGACTAGCCTTAATTTGTATGTCTGTCTGTGGTATAAAGTCTATTATGACTATAAAGTACGCATTTTTTAAGGAAAACGGGACCGAGAATGGAACTACCCATAAAATAATGGCTTAAATTTTTTAAATAAAGAAAGAGAAGGATTAGTAACCTTCTTTGCTTATCCTTGACAGATACGTGTATTTCGTCCACAATGTGCAGACTTCTTCAGTCTACACAGCAAAAAAAGTTGTTGAATATTACATCGAAACTGCTGCAACCAGGTCAATCCATCGGTTGCGTAATATCACATTGTACGATGTACATCGATTCTGCGAACAAAATTACATCGATTGATGTAATATTGTATCTGCTTTTTGGTATTACATCATTATTTCATACATCAGCATGAATTACGTTGATCGATATTACATATTTTTTTGCTGTGTATTCGAGTATTAGTACAAGACACTGAAGAAGTCTGCACATTTTAGACGAAATACGCGTATCTGTCAAGGATAAGCAAATAAGGTATTGGAATTAAATGGAAATTACTAATCCTTCTCTTTATTTTGACAGGGATCGCTCGCACATTTGAATCAGTCGTTATAGATTTTTGAGCAATAGTTCTATGTCAAATATGAGTAAGAATCAATGGCCGTGATGACATATGTAGCGAAGATCCAAACCAATACACGGTCGATCAGATTAACTCAAAATTGAGTCGATAGACTCAATTTCGTTAGAAGTGAATTTACCGAATTTACAAAAGAGGGAGTTGAATTTCCGGGTTTTTTCTAGGAAACAATTAACCACTTGTAGAGATGAACTAGCCTAAGGCTAAAAATCTCTTTAATAAAGAATTAAAAAAAAAAAATAACCACTTCATTCGAGCAGTTAAAATGACGTTTACTACCACTCAAACTTTGAAATAAAACATTATTTTGAGATTTTTTCTTCTAGAACCTCGAGAAAAGTAGCCAACATTTGTGCATTTTATAAAAAAAATAGAAATTAGTTGGTCCAGTTTTGTGAAATCGCTGGTAGAAAGTCACGTCAAAACTGCTTGACAAAGTGGTCAATTCTCGAATAGGAAGAAAATTGAGAGAGATTTCACTTTCCAATATGGAATATTTCCGTAAAAGCTCAACGCAGATGTCGCCACTGCATGATGATGATAATGTTGACAGACTGCATATAAAATTCGTGAAAATTAGCGTTAAATCATAATTTTCATCAAGCCTGTGTAAAATCCTTCGAATATAACATTTGAATTGAAGAAGAAAACGTGTTTACGATCAGACTGATGTGCATCTTTGACTTTTCCAGTTGAACTTTCATAAGATATATTCATTTAATTTCGCGGCTGCATCAATGCTGCATCGTAAATATAATGTAAACAGAAGTATATTGCTCAATTACTCAATATAAAGATGATTTGTCATCTTGTTATCACCATCTAGCACCATTTTATAGTATGGTGCGTGTTGAGTAAATCAAGTTCCGGTGCGTTTTCCGTCGAAAATTGTGAGTATCAATATGTTTGCTTAGAAAAGGCCAAAATGAACATTTATTGAATATTGGCGTCCTATAAAACCAATTCTCCATTACCACCAGCATGATACAACCTTTCCTAAGTAAATTAACTTAATTTCCACTTTCATCTTAGTGGAAATCGCACATATTCCCCATTTTCCGAAAAATGCAGCTGCGCAGGAGGTAACCTCTCGCTGTGGGCGCAAACTTGTTATGCATTATTTTCCATGAAAACCTCTCCGATCCATACCGAAATAATAACAATTAGTTTTCAAACACGCTTTCTTACACGATTCAAGCAAAAGTTTCCACGAGAAATAATTAGTTTTTCTTTATGGACCGATTTGCCCCAAAAATCGTCTGTTTTACTTGGAAAATTTGTAAACTATCCTCCTTCTATTAGTTCTCACTTCGAAATGTAGGAGGCGAAAGCTTGGAAAAGTTTCACTGCAAGACGCCAATTAGTATACTCCTAGATGTCCTACACACAAAAAACTAAAATTGTATCAATAAATATGATGCATTTTCAAATTAAAAGTTTCCTAAACTTCCGACTTGTAAATTTAAAAGTACATTTTTGAAAGTAAAGTTGTACAACTGTCAAAAATATATCTTTAGGGGTCGTTTTTACTGGCAGCACTGAACTCTCATTTGCCGCCTTTTCCGATAGTGGAAATTTGGTCAGCCGTCTGCTGCAGAAATTTGGGACAACATATTTTTAAAAGTAAGTCAATCTGTGAATCGTTGAAGTTATTGTTGGTTTAATGGATCTTATTGGGAAAACAATTTAACTCACATTTATATTGTTTTTCGACATTCATATAGACTCCCACTGAAGGTCATCACTGTTTTCCCGAAACAGTTTCCTCCATCCCATCGTCCACAACCGGCGGAACTGATGGAGTAAGCTCACTGCATCAGCTGTGGTTGTTTCGCCGGAAAAGCCTAATTTGGACTTCAAACGGAAGGTCTCCAACGGGCAAGAATGCCGTTTCGCTAGATCATCGATTCAAAATTGAATTTCTCTAGTAGGGCACCAGATTCACACGGAACATGTATTACGCTACCCTGGAGTGGTGCTGGGAATTTGTTGAAAAGGCTCTGTTTGCCAAAGTGTCACTTCCTTTATATCATAAATGGCATTTGACGATGCGATGAATGGCATACACACAAAAAACGAAAATCGTGTATTTAAAAATTATTCGTTTTCAAATTGGAAGTTTCCCTTATTTCGTAGTTTTAACGATGAAAATATTCAAAATGAAAGCAATGTAATTGGTTTGAAAGTGTTTCTTTCATTATCGACTGGTTATGTTAAAAGCGCATATTTTCAAAACCAAATTGTTTTACTGTCAAAAATACTTCTTGGCAGCAAATCCAAAACCATCGTAAAAAAAGCCAACAGGTTATATAGTGTTATCTACAGGCCCAAATTTTTGAGTTTTCAAATAGCGAATTTCTTTATTATTCAGTTCCAACCTGGATCGAGTATCAGGATCGGTTCTGCTTGTTTTCTGACAAACGTCAGTTTGATCGTTTGTTTTTAAAACCTACCTCAGGTTCAGGTTCGCACTGACAAAAAGTTCGGTTTCACACGG